TTGACCCATTACTGGCCGACCGTGTCTTTAATGAGCGATGTACATTCCGTTCTCAGCGTACGTCGATGTCATTCAGTTTGTGCGTGAAAACGGTTGATTATTCTGCACTTTCATTTCTTTCTCTTGAAGCGCGAATAATATATATAGTTCAAATTGATCCCGGCGATATCCCGGGATATTCCTTTTCCTTTTGAGGAATAACAAACTTTTGTTGAAAGCGGAGAGATAAGCAATTCTATCTCTGGCAGAAACATCTCGTTTTCAGAAATAAGAGAGGAATATTGTTTGAAGACTGAAAACTTATCCGTCACGCAGCGTCGCTGACGCTTTAAAGCGCATACTCCATTGCCCGCGAACGCGCTTTACAATACCGTATTATGTTTCGAACGATTTTTTTTTTATTTTTCATCAATCTCACTCAATTATTCTTTATTTTATCTTGAGAAACAATTCTGCCGTGTCTGGTGATCCATGATAATTTTATTATATCCTAAAATGTTTCTGCTTTTTTTTTCGAATGTATGCATATCTTCGCCCCGTGTATGACGTTTGAGGAGACGATACGCGCGTGAGAGAGAATACGTGGCTTGAGGACAAGCGATCTTCCACACATGAAGCAGAGCAGCAGAAAGCGCGAAGAGGATTCTCTTCTCGCTTTCGTTGCAAGCCGCGTGATATGCGAGTCACATGGGGTGGAGGGAGGAGGGTAGAGGGTCGCGGTATCGTGCGTGCTCCAGAAAGGATCGAACTTCCTAAGCTTGCGCGAATTTCCGATGACGGCGGCGGCAGGATGGAAATCGTCTTAGGATCTAATGCATATGCGGACAACAATGCATCGAAAGCATCGCGGCAAAATGAATGTATTTGACATAAATGTATTTTGTAGATGCGTTGTTTAATATTATTAATGTATCAATTATTAGATTGACATCGAATTATGCGAGGATATTTAAAATCGTACGTGAAATGATTGCCCCGTAATTAGTGGCCATAAATATTATTAATCCATCATTTTCTTTCTCGATGTGTCATTACTCTGTTGATAACAATTCTAGGTGTTTGTAATACACACGAAGCGAAATTGTCGCTCTGCATAAATAAACATTGCGATAAATTAAAAAAATATATATATTAAAATAAGGACATTATATAATTGTGACATGTTTCTCTTCCTGAAGCGACACTCTGTTATAATTATCTAATTAATAATTCTCGTGTTATAATTATCTAATTATAAACATTCTCATTATATCATAATTATAAAATATTGTTTATTGTCGCATAAATATTTCTATTAATTAAACAAAAATGTATCCAGCCGTCCGAATCAATTATAATTAAATATAACATCGCCGTATGTCGAGAGTAATTAATCGACAATTATCAGTTAGAAATAAATTAGTGGCGTTCAGGGCATTCTGTAAAATGATTCAATCGAATCTATTCGCGGGGTTAACTCTTATTAGAAAAGCAGGAAAGGACCACTAGATTCTAAAGGGTTTCAAATGATTCAGGAAGCTATCAGGACAGCAACGTCGGTCAGGAGTTCCGCTCGTGCGACACCGCTAAGCAGGCAATTGGGGCGATAGAGTCAAAGGGTTAATGTAACAAAGGCTTATATTCCGTGAGGTCAAAGGTCTCCCATGACGCCTAACCCACGAAAATTCCGCACAAAGAGACACACAATTTCCTCAGAGATTCTCGGTAACTTTTGGCATTTGATTATTTAGAACTATACATGTATATAATCTACATTTTATCGAAGGAATTGCAATCCCGGTTAATATTCCTTTATTTAAATCACGTTTTTTGAAAAATCGCAATTATACTTATTATACGCAGGTACGAGTACTTGTGTACACTTAAGAATCAAGGATCTCATTTTTATTCAATATAACTATCAATTCTGCATTATGTACTCTGTTATATTTTCAACGAACAGAAAACGAAACAAGCAAATTATAGATAACGTCAAATTATATGCAGATAGCACGACTTAGGCAATTAAAACGTAATAATATAAAACAATAAGAATATAAATTTGAATTATGCCCGATATGTATTTTCGTATTAGACGTGTGAAAATTATTCATTCCAGTGGCCCCGATAATCGATTGGTTAATACTACTTATAGATTGTACTACGGTAATCGATTGTACTACTTATCGAGTTAAAGGCAGAAAAGATTTGGCGAGTATTCGTTAAATATTAAACACACGTGCGTATTTGCGAGATATTTCCGCGCTGCATGTAAACGATTCTCGCGGGACCAAAAAGCTCGTGCACTTATGAAAATGCATCGTGCATTAGTCGACGATAAATTTCCCCGGGTTCAGGAAAACGAGTTCAGCGCAGTCTATTTACGCGCGCAATGCCGCATCGTAATTAATACCTATGCGGGAATAACGCGTACAGATATGTGAAACATCTGATTACACGGCGAGGTAAATCTAATTGGCCGACGCGGCTGCGAATGAAAAAATATGGCGGCCGATGGAGCTGCGTAAAAAATCTTAATTTGATGTGCTCATAAAATATTATTTTGAGCACTTGCTTTGTGTAATAAAGATGCATGATGAGATAACGTAATTTCGCCAAACAGCACGTAGAAATTATTAATATTAGATTTTAGAAGGGAACTGGAAAAACTGTTGAATATTATTGTAACTAAAATTGTAGTAATCTGCAGTTTATACAGATAGGCGGGTGTTAAATTATATTAAGTAAACCGACAGTTTATTATATGTGTGTAAACAATTTGAGCAATATAACTAAGTGAGGCACTTAATTATATTAACGCGCGCGCACCGCAGCACGAACAAATGCAATTCCTAGTAAACATGATATATGGGCGACATTATAAAATTAATTGCATACGGAAAATAGAAATCCCGCTTTGGCCGTTTGCTAATTAAATACGTGGCGTTTGCCGTAGAAATTCTTTTCTGTTTGTACAATACATATCTCTTTAAATTAATTAATTAATTAATTTGCTCGCCGGCGTTTATTTAAATTTTTGACAGAGTAAAACGCAATTAATATTCCGACGTTTCATTCGTAGGTAGCGAACAAAATATATCCATAGATTCTAGCTGCAAATGTACGTATATATAAATATGAAAAATATATATACATGTATATACATATATGTATTTACATAACTATCTTTTGCCATTATTTTTTTGTTCAATATAACTAAAATTTTAATTAAAATAATATAGACTTCGCATTCTAGACAGTTTAATTAACTTCAGAGAGGTATCTTGGTGAGAGTTAATTGATCTATTCGCTTAATTCACCTTATTTCTTTCGAAGGATAACGACCGCGCAGGTATCAGAAGCAGGATTGATATGAGTTCAGGTCTCTTGTTAGATAAGCGAAAGCGTTTTTTAAAGGTCAAGTTATCAGGACAACATGTTATGGATGGAAATTGCAAAGCCTGTAAGAGAGTAAATAAACTTAGCTTGTGTTCGATAAAACTTCGATCACTTGGTTGAGCATCAGGATTTCATCTTGTCAACGGAACGAAAAGCATACCGTTGTACGTACGTCAGGGTAAAATTGAATTGTTATGAATTTTTTAAATATCAGATTTCTATATAATTAATAAATGTATAGAATTGTGAGATAATTGTAAGAAGGTAGGTGATAATGATAACTGGATCTTTATGAATTCGGATAAAAAAAAAGTGAAAACTAATTACTTCGAGCCGGAAAAATCAGGTATTTAAAAAAGAGACGAAAGGAAAAGGAGTTTTCACAGATTTTCTGAAATTTGATCCGATTTAGCAATCTTATATGAAAGAAATATTCCATTTTGTGATTGACGTAAATGTCTTCTATAATAAAACGGATCGTTGGCCTTAAGAAAGAAGATTATATCAATTTGTAATCTCGATTTGTAACTCTCAAATCTATCCGTGTGACATTCATTCCTAGAAATATTTTTAACTCATTTCTCAAGATTTTGCATATTGTACGCTTACATCCAGAATTGATCCATTAATTATAGAAGACCCATATTTATCTACAATGAATTCACTAAAATAAACGTTCCCAAGAATAATCCCTCAATCAATACTTCGATTTATAAAGTAGGTTTATATTGGCTTTTATAGTAGATATATATGTATATACAGAAATAACTTGTTTCAACAAATTAAGAGATAATTTGTTTTAATAAATTATCTATCAATCTCGGCAATGAACAAAAATTAACGGATTTATCTATATTTTAAAGAAATTTTTGCATTTACTCGTTAAACGAAAAATGTTACGGAGCGCCGCGGAGAGCTAGGTGTAAACCTCCATAAATTTTAGAGCCAACAATGCATCCGAGTGCAATTGTGGAGGGAGAAGCGTTTTCGGGTAATCGCCTGATAATTCTCAATCAATCGATAAATCATTCCCAACACGAGCCTTTCCGTGGGAGCGGCAGACGGCCTTGGCGTTCGTTGAAAAGGACGAGACAATGGCCGGGGCCTCGTGAACGACCGATCAAGGCCGTTTCCCATGGTTGGGACGGGTCAATGGCCATGGTGGCTCATAAAAGAGCACATGGGACCCCTTCGTCTTCAGTTCCCCGGCAGTGCTCGTGCTGTCTGGATCGTCTCGTACTTAATACACGTACACGCGATATCTATATACTTTTTACTTACGTGTTTCTCTAAATACGTTACGCTTATTCACGTGATTTATTGTAATTTTTGTAATATCATAATTAACAAATGTATCGTGACGAATCGCGGAGATCGTCGTCTCTTTCATTTTGATCTTTAATTTACGTATTGAGGAAGTTTGTGAAATCATTTTCTCGTCACACACACATGTGCGGTGCTAACTTATTAATATTTAAAGCTACATTCGATATTTAACGAACACTTTGTAAATGGTCTTTTATCGCGCACTTGACATAAGGTCGAGACGCGACGATCGATCGGCGATAGCTTATCACACGCAGTATTGTTCCCACGATATACATTATGCAAAAATTACTTACCCGACGGGTGATTAGACTGCAAATTGTAGTCATCGACTTGTAATGTGCTGTTCGGCCCAGTTCTGGTAAATCTAACCACGTGATATTGGTTGTCGTTAACTTTCACGCCAACTTCGCCGAGCGGATGATCGCTGGTGCCCATGTTGTAAACCGCGAAAACGTTACCTTCCACCTGTGAATAAATCATTCATTTCTATTACAATGAAATTTAATTCTTGAGTCGTGTCAATTAGATTAAATTGAAATAGAAACCAGAATCAAATAAATTAAACAAAGTTCAATACATGTATAACATGCTCATTTATATTGTATAAGACTATTAATATTATAAGCTTCAAGGTCTATTTAATAATATTAATTATGTACGAATTAAATCAGGAATTCCCAAAGTATGGGTCACGACCCGAATTTTGGTAAGTGAAAGATTTTAGAATGTTAAATTACGCTTACGTTATTTCAAGCAGAATAGCTCACAGATAATCCGATAATACAGAATAAATTTTCTGTACAAACTTGCGAGCGCGCCCGCGCGCGCGTACTTTCATAATTTCATATATGTGTAAAGTTGGATTTTCAACGACGATAGACGATAGATTAAAACCAGATTTCGAAACAAACTATAATTATCAAACTCCTTGCGTCTAAAAATAACTCACATCGATGTCTACGTCAAAACTGTTACTAAGAAACCAGAAACAGGAAACAAAGACATTATCCACATAATGTCATTATAGTTATTTATCTTAGTATATCTAAGAAATGGATTTGTAAAATTATTTAATAAAAAATTAAAAAAATAGGAGGAGTGTATATAAATAAAATGGTACAAATAAATTAATATACTCGTCCCTTGTTTTCTTAATATTTGCTAAAGCTAGATATGTCGCGGATGTATTCTTTTTTAAAAAGTAAGTCGTGATCTACACCAGTTTGGGAAGCCTCGTACTAAATTATATAATTATATTATATACACAGTACTTAATAATACTCTATAATGTGTCAATTATGTTTCATTATATACTAACAATTTCGATTTCGAGATAATCGTTACTCGACGCAGATTCTATCCTAAGCAGCACAGCATCGCTAACGCCGGTGACGAAACCCAAGGCCACGGTATCCCTTTTCATTTCCGGTCGACGATCAGGCGGAAAGGTATACGTAATAATTCCTCTTCCGGCACCGAATTCGTAAGCGATAGCCTCTGCAAAATGAAATATTTTGATGTTAGAGATAACGTTTTGTCTGTTATACAATTAAATATAGCCTGTTACATATTAAACATAGCCTGTTGAAATTGTTTTCGCTTTGTTGTAGTCACTTCATATATTCTGCTGTATAAGTAAAAATTAATTGAATTTTTGTTCTAACTCTCGTGTTCTAAAAATGTCCTATTCATCGAGTTTCATCAATAATCGCGTTTAACTATTCGGGAAAATATTTACCTCCCGGCGAGAAAAATCGGTTCCATTCACTGTATAAACTAGTTTCGCATCCCTGTAATATTTATTACACTGCAGAGTAATCCGATAACAGCACCAAACTTTGATAACTTTATAGATAACGTTATTAAAAATATATGTACGTGTATATAAATAGAGTTGTATGAATAAACAAAAAGATGGCATATTTTAATAAAATATTAACTTGTTAATCGATTAGCGATTTTCGATATTAAGCGTGAATGGATAATCTTTTTCTTTCCCTTCCCTTTTCTCAATACGAACAGTCCTATATATATTTATTTTTCCCCTGTTCATTTACCATCGTTACAAGTCGGTCCGGTAAAACTCGTCATGTCGCAGTCGCACGTGTAGCTATTCCACTGCTGCACGCACGTCCCATGATTGGCGCAGAGATCATGAGTGCACTTCTTGCCCGGATGCAGGTTGGTGTAAATGTCGCATCCGGAAGTGACGAGGGAACTCGGCACGACGGCATCGGTAATGAGGTCGGTGCTCTCCCCGCTGAGATCCAACGACGCCAGACACCCCTCGAATCCGTGACGGCTGAGAATCGGCTTTGGTAATAGGCCGTATTGCGCCTTCTCCACTCCGCCTGAAATAAACGAGACGTTAAATCTCTCTCTTTTACGCAAACCTCCTTGACATTTAAAAAAAAAAGGAAAGTCTCTTTCTCTCGTTAAATATATCCGTGAACGTGCGATTGACGTTTACTTTGATTTGAAAAAAAATTTTTAAGTATCATCCCTTAATCATTAAATCACGAAAGAACAAACGTTTAAAACTTTTATCCATCCGTTCGCGAGGCGCGACACAGAGCTTGTCGCGAGATTGAATTGCCAAAACGCAGACGGGATGTCGCGCTTCACGTAAAATATCGAAACCAAAATTTCGGCAGTTAAATCGAAATAATCTCTCTCTCTCTCTCTCTCTCTCTCTCTCTCACAAACTCTCGCAGCCTTGCGATATTCGCAGGCCTCTCGGTAATCGCGGATATCGCGGGTACTCGATGAACCGAGACGACCGCACGTCCGGTCGATCTTGCCGCCATAAATCCTGCGGGATCGCCGTCGGTCGAAAATTATTTCGACGGTCACACATTATATCCCATACGACCGCGTGTAGAAACATGAAAATCTTTTATTCAAAATGCTAATATACTAAAAGGGATTTTACGGAAGAAACGAAAGGCGATATCCCGCAGCTTTTTCTCTCTCTATTACATTACGTAATATCTATTAAAATACGTCAAATAAATTTTAAACAATAAGTAGTGATAATGAACTTTTAATTGTCCATTTATTTCCGGAAACTAGTACGGATATCTTGATGCAATGTTACGTTCAATCGTGAAATTCCGACCGTAATTTTTGTGGTCGAACCGATCTCGCGACGCATGAGCGGCGCGGTTTGGCAATCGCTATTGAAGAATAATTGATGGCTGATTTGCCAATTTATGCCAGCCCGACGGTGATCGATAGATTTATTAATGAATTAAGCAACGGGAACGGTATGATATGGATCTAATTAATGGTGATTCATAGCGCGTTACGCTGATATACCCGTAACTGAATTTCAGCTCGTTAGTCCGGACATACATAGACATCTGTCCTATCTACGCTGTTAATTAGAAATGCGAAAAGATCTGCATCATAAACGTTTCTTTGTCAGGTGATATTATCGTTCACGTAAAATTGTGATTTGACGTCGTTCACGCTTGACGTATGTTTTAAAAATCAAACTGTACTATCTATTGTCAAGAAATCGTAAGCTTCCTCGCCGTAGTTGCGACATAGTTTTTTCGCAAATATCACAGTTTAACACCGAATCAGATATTCCAGATAATAGAATAATTCCATAGATGTATTAATTACAAAGATAAAATCGACTAATTCTCCACCCGGATTTTCCACGATTTTATTTGTCATTTTGAAAAGTCATGCGCTTACACAACGCGACAATAAACGTCGCGTGACATCTCTCCGTGAAGCCTACGTCTCCTCTTTTTATAACCTTCAGATTAATTGTGTAGTCACACATTATATAGGAGCGCAAAGAATTTCGACGATAAATATAATTGCTCGTGTCGTACGGAATGAGAAATTAAACGATCGAAAAATTACGCGTGATCGTAACGTGACAGAGAAATTGATTCACAATCAAGTTATTCTAAATTATATTTGCCTATAAATAATGCGGCAGTTAATATTTTGACAGCCGATTAGATTATTTTTAATGACGATACTAAAAAACACATGGTGATAATGGCGATTGTATTCAACGAAGCATTAAAGATAACAGCTCAGTAATTCACAAATCCGTTGATAATCGAAATAAGAGTATGATTTCATAGAATAAACAAAGATAAGTCATCGATACGATTGATTAGTACATACCTACATGTCATATAGTGGCATTATATAGAAAATTATAAAAATAAAAAAAAAATTTTTTATCGTTTACATAAGTACATTCCGAAAACTGTACCAGGATCAGTTGAAACAAAAATGTTATTTGCATCTTTATAACGTACGTCAAGGCCAAGATTATCGTTAAGGCATGCGCAGGCGTAAATAATTGCTCGAAATAGGGTTACCTTATCAAATGTGGAATGGATATAGATTCTAATTTCGACAGTATGAATGCATTCGTAACATTTTCTATGTCTCGTGATGCAGTTGTATATATGAGAAAATAAAATATTGTCAATAAAACAATATGATTTTTAACAAATCTATTATTATCTAATATATATCTATTTTCCACTTCCTTCCGCGATAATTTCGATCATATGCTATTAGATCATATGCATTATATGCTTATTATTAGATATGCTATCAGTATAATATTAATATTTTTTAATTAAATATATTAATATTATGTATTAATATATTAGTATATTAATATTTTTTAATTAAATATATTAATATTTTTTAATATATTAATAGTAATATAGAATGCTAAATTTTTTAATTTAAAAAATTATTAATTATACGTATATATATATATATATATAAATATTAAACGAAAGGTTAATCATGTTCAAGCACGCTTTTTTTTAGATTTCTACGAATAAATCTAACCAGGGCCTCGCGCTCTTATCAGCCAGCTGTACCGTTTATCACGTACGTCATATATTCGCTATCATTAAATCGCATTAATCGTAACAACGACGTCATTTACTCACGAATTTAATCTTACATTTGGGGGTGCGCTGCGATCGAACGTGCCGGATGTGCGGCTCGCTGAGTTAGTTATAATCACGATCATTTTCACGCTTCGAGCAGTCGCGCGCGTCTGTGCATCATCATCGAAAGTGCACGAATTCGTAGAGCGCTCGAATCGTCAATCGCGGCTTGTCGGTGCAATCAAACTCGCTGTCGACGACGTCCGGGAGAATCGGTGGAAATCACTTAACGCGCGATAAGAAGATAATATTAGCGACGCTATCACTCTTTCGGATCGACATAATTCGTAAAATCCCGCTAATCAGATTGCCATAGCCGCTCCTGTCACGATATATATATATATATATCAACGTGAAAATTTAATAATTATTTTTACAAGTTATCAGTCATTATGTCTCCTCGCGATCTCGCTTTACGCGTCCTCCTAATTTCGATCGTTCGTTTCTCGACGACGTCGATCATCCGGCCGCAGAGATTGTACATCGTACAACTCTCGTCGCAACCGGCGAGGGGAAATATACCGGACCGATGGAGAACGCTACCGGAGTTTGATGCGCCGCAAATCGAGATTCAACTGCTGAAGGGCTACGTCTCGTCGAACGGGAAATTGATATTCACCAATGAGTACAAATACCCGGAGACAGGTTACAAGTACGTATGTAAACGACGAGAAAATATGCCTAAAGACGTACTCGTCTTTGAGATGAATTAACTCTGAGACTAGCGCTTTTCGATACGTATAGACATTGAATGAATGTCTTGAAGTTTATTTATAGATTTTCCGAAAAAGCGCAACGCGTCCGATACATTAATGTAAAGGATAAGTCACTTAATCTGAAGAGACATTTAAGGCATTTTTGGATCGAATGTGTTGTATCTTACGTATGCAGAGCTATGCTTGAAAATTTAATATCTTCACACAAATCTTCATACAATTTTATAATTTATTATTTAATTTTTAATCATTTGGTTCAATCTTTCCATATATATATATATATATATATGGAAAGATTGAACCAAATGATTAAAAATTAAATAATAAATTATAAAATATGACATTAAGCAATCAAATCTCAAATGTATTCAATCAATAATGCATGAGACGCGAGATGATGTTTGATCCGAAAAAATATAAACCAAAACCGAGAGACATCAACGACAGCAAATGAACATCCACACGTTGCTAATGCTGTAATAACGTCGTCAATGCAAATAATCTTACGCGGTCATAAATCGATTAGTGGCGAGGCAAAGATGACATCGACAACAGATGAGAAGAAAATCTGGCAAATTGAGAATGACGATATGAAGGAGAGAGGAAAGGAGAAAGAGAACGTTCAGGGAAATATCGTGATACCTGGTAGGACCATCCCGGCGATTGGATCCAGGCATGTTATTGATGCGCCTCCAAGGTGCCCGGATGGAAAAAAACACGATGCGCATGGACAATGTAGGGAGATGATATGAGTTACCTCTTCTATTTTAAGGTAATCTTTCATTACAAAAAATCTAACATACCTTCTCGACAAAAACTAATTGAAATATGCGATAATCAAATATGGATAACATTTTAAAAATTCTTTTAAATTTTAATTTTAACAATAGGAAACTTTGGACGAATTAGAATTAAATAAAAATTAACATAATAGAAAATTTCAGCATACTTTATACAATAATTATATTCCAGCTATTAAATGGCTATTAATTTCTGGACCTAAAATGGGCAGACACAGAAAAAGAAGACAAAAGGGAAACACTTAAATAATTGAAGCTCTCCAGTTATCGATATTTATCTTATATAAAAGCATAAAGTATTTAAAAACGTGAGAAAGCTACTTTATGAATAAAATACTATATTAAATTTGTATATTTTTTATTACGCGTTCTACACTTGTATATGATTTTATTTAATTGATATGACAGTCTTATATTTCGTACATCCGTTATGCAAGTTTCATAAATTGTCAAGAAAATAAAAATAAATTCTGATATACGTCAAAATTTAGCATGCAATATTTAACTTTCAATCCATATAAATTCTACGTATCTATATCCAGCAAAACTACCGATATTTTTGAAACTTATAAATTACTATGTGTTTCAAAATGCGAGAATAAAACGCGAACTAAATCGTGAAATACATTTATATTTTGAGATATATATGTACTTTCGCTCAATAATGAAAGAAAGAAATAATTTAAGCATTAATTTAACTTTATAGAGTTAAATTAATTATAGATAACTTAAGAATTTCGTATTCTCCAGCCAGATCTTACGACTGAACAGATTTTACGACAATGTGGTAAGCTAATCTGGATGTGGTTACAATATAATTCATTAAACTAATTAAGAAACCAATACATAAATGACATATTTAACTTATACAATAAACGGATTGCAGATGTAAATCACGACTGACTAATTAAATTAAATTAATATCGCGTACACGCTGTTATTTTATTGTAGTAATATCTCTCGAATGAAATTGTCGAATAGAATCCTGATTAATTGTATTGCCGCGCGTTATATAACGGGCGGGCTAAATGCGACGCTTAGATTATCATAATGAAAACATTGTATAAAAATAAATTAATAATAAGAAAAAAATATTCTCTAAGAAATATTTAAAATTGCCCAGATTATAATCCAAGCCTTCTTTAATTCTTAACGATCAGTTATATTAATTAATTTAGTAATATGAATAAAAAATCGCCTAACAAGTAAATATTCGAATTGTAGAATTAAATTATATGTATCATTTCTCCCTTTCCCTGTCACTTACCTATGTACAAAATGCCATCGAGATCAAGATTCTCGTTGCTGCCCTGGCTGTTGACAGCAGTCACGTGATCGTCCACAGCGAGAGTGTGCCTCTTTGCGGCAGGTCTACCAATACTAACTGCGTGCCATTTGCCATCGTTCAACTTGGACCTCGAAGTGTCCCTGACCCTGACAGCCCCGTCGCCGAGGTCAAACACATAGTGTACGTGCCCGTTTACCAGCTCGACCGCAATGAAATCATGCTCTCTTCCGGCATTGTAAAGGATCAAGCCGTTCGCTTCGCGCGTTTTAAACTGAAAAGTAATTTGCACATGTAAGACGACGAGTTTACGCTCTTTTCCTCTGCAATTTGATTAAATTACACCCTTTTATAATTGACGATAAAATCTTTGTCATTTCATCATTAAACGCGGAAAAACGCGTCTAACGATACCTAATTCCATACGATCTTACTTTTCTATTGTTGTGATGCACTGCAAGACGGAATTGTGCCCTTTTCAAATCTGTATAATTCTTTTTTTTTACAAATTATTATTAATTAATTCTTCTAATTGCGTTCGCAAAAAAAAAAAAACATAAAATTAATCAAAAAAGTACGCGTCTAAAACTTACATATCTTATACTTTGTATTTTCATATTCCCTAATTTAACATTTTAATTTTAATGTTTTATATAATTAATATGTATTGTACCCAAGATTCTACCAAAAATTAGGAGAAACGTGATATAAATGGATCCTCGCGATTCTTTATTTACCAAGCGACTCAATAGAATCGTGCAGGTAATGTGTGTGTGTGTCCCTGACTTATGAGAAAAAAAATATCAATTTTCACCTGGAAATAGATGTTTGTCTCCACGTACGCCTTGAGTACCGGAAGTCCTACGAAGGTGTGCTTGGAGGTGAAGGTCACCGGATGGTGAACCGGATGGTTCCTCTTCCCGAATTTGCCGGTAACCCGGATGATGGGCGTGACGCCCTGATGCGAGGTCTGATGGCTTCCAGCGCTGCGCGCAATCTCCAAGTATGGATATCCGTTGAACCAGATCTGCTGCAGCTGGCCCACGAAATGCGGTATGTCCTCGCCCGCGTGAAGATATCCGCCAACGTGAAGAGTGCGGAATTCCAAGATGCCCTGCTTTCCCAACTGCGTTTCCGCTACATTTGCATACAAACAGCCGTTTGTCATTAGAATTAATAAGCAATTATGAAACGGGAGATTAATTTAAATAGAGAAAATATCGAAATATTTGAAAAACATCGACGATTTAATTGCTCATCTTTTTTACGATGAAAGTAATTTCATGTTCGAGAGGTACATCAATAAAAGTAGTTCAATATTAGAGAGCTACAAACTGATTAGTAATACAAAAAATATATACGCGTACCATGTATAAAATTTAATTCTTTCATCACGGCGCTTCGATATCAAGAATTTTAAATTTAATATAAAATCTGTGATATAATTATATATATAATTTTTTATTTTATATTTTATTTTCTTGTATTTAATGTGCTATATAAATTTATTTATTTTTTTTCTTATTTGAATCTCTGTGTACTCGAGTGCTTGCGGAAGTATCGCGTATTTCGCTATCTCGGCGAAATGATTGCTAGGAGAAAATCGACCGCTAAAGATTCGTGAATGCACTGAAACTTTAGCGTTTAAACAGAACTGTTGAACTACGGCCGGGCTTAAGACGGGAACCGCATGTGTTTCGCTGTGCAGCAATTATCGTCCCAGCCCGATCGATTGCGCCGAAGTAAAGGCCGTTGCAGGGCTGCTGCAATTTAGGCTATTGCCACCTAACTCAATATTGCCGGCACTCGCCGTCAGTTTAATAGGGTGATCCGAGGGACAGCTTTGCGAGGGTGGCTGTTTCACGCCGGTCGCTGCTGCGGCGGGGTTGTTTTGCAGGGGCCGATTGGGGCCGGGCTGATTGGTAGGCCAATCACGTGCGGTTCATATTATCGATATTAATAAGATACGGGCGGGACGCGCTCTACTGCGTCAGCGTTCCATTCCTATGGAAATGTCGCTAATTGCTTCGATTATCTTACATTATTTTTCGCATTAATATACACACGCAATGTGCAAATTACGTGAAATTTTTGGGATAAGATCACTGGTTACGGATCGATCCTCCGAATTGTACGGTAGTACCTATCTTATGTCAATTTACGCGCGAATGCTCCATCGACATGACAGTCATATTGGCAAAGACATTCGAAACGACGCTATATCGAACGGACATAATATCGGTATTAAAAATGTCGACTGTATGTCACGAGAATTGTTAAGCTCTCCGATATATCGATGTATTGTTTGCTCATCCGTGGCGTGTTCGTCGTTCCGCGCTAACCGCGCGGAATTTGCGCGCAGCGAGAGAGCTCCCGAGGGAATTCGCTGCGAGGAGCGGTTTACCGTTGATGAAATCGCACGGGGATATAATTTACTTTATACTTGAAACGCGCCGGAGTACCGCGAATGCCCCGCAGACGTCGACGACGACCCGCGCCGCCCCACCCTGTCGTCGATTTCGGATGCACTTTTCCCGCCGCGCAGCAGCCGCGCGGCGGTGGCGGCGGCGTGAAGAGCAGCAGCGTTTCGAGGAGCCGCGGCTCGATAAAAAGCGCATTTGCATGCCCGCGATTTGTAATCCGTCCGCTGGATGTCGGAAAATCGATGGCACTGACTCTCGTATCTACCGCTCGTAAATAATACGGTCGGCGAATCGGCGTAAACAGAGAAAAATCGACGGTCTCTCTCTCTCTTCCTCTCGAAAACGCGCGCGCGAGCGGGGAGAATTCTTTTGCCTCCCGGGAGAAGAAAAAAACGCGTGTGCGCGCTTCTTCTCTATTGATCACACGCTCGCTCGCGCAAAATGTATACCCAAAAATGTAGAAATAGACTTCTTCACACGAAGCTTCACCTTTGTAGTTTATTATAAAAATATCGAGTTTGGGAGGCATTATTTTCCAGGAAGGTTTTGAAAGCAGTCTCCTTCACACACCCCATAAAATATCTTTTCACCCCTCGTGTTTAAAATAAATCTGCTCTATATCTTATTCATTGTGCTTTATCGCTCGATCGTCCCTGGGACGTACCTTATGGCGTTTGCCTGTATATGGCTGATACATCCTTCAGACTTCGGTCACTAAAAATATCTTTATCATTTACAAACGGAATTTTTGCGTCCCGCGCTGACATATATATTATTTCTCACGATTGACGCACACCGACCAAGTGCAATGACGGCCGCGCACACAGCCTTGGAAAATCTTCGATTAGCATTCATAAGAGTGTGTCTCGATTCGAAGGGTCGCCGACGGAATGCGAAAGCGGACGCATTGCGCGATGCATTTTGAATTTGCGATTGCAGGAGAGGGTCGGGAGAGAGAGAGAGAGAGAAAGCACCCGCGGGAAACTTGTAATTTATCCGATAGAGAGGGAGGAAGTGCAATCGGAAAAGGTAAAGTTTTAAGCTCTATCAAAATTGAAACCGCGATACAAGGGTTTTTGCTTAACAATAAGAAGTGATTGCGGACGGGACGGTGGAATTTTTTAAATTGCTTCTTGAAACTGACCAAGCATACAAAGGAAACTACTCATTAACTCATAATTAATTGTATTACATTAATTATGTACTCTTATTTGCATATACGCGCGGGAGACTGTATAATTAATTATTTATTATAATTATACATTAATTCACTCAGAATGATTGCACAATGAGATCTGCATGTGAATGTCGCCTAACGGAAAAATGTAATGCCGGTGATTTTCTTTGTTAGGCAATATATAATTTTTATCGTTAAATCACTTTTTTAGATTACAGTTAGTATGAAATGTCAAATTCAAAATTTAAATACATTTTAGATACATTCAAGATGTACACAATCGAATCAATTATTCACAATTGAATTACTTGTGAATTTACTTGTTTATGAATACAATAAACAAATAAATTATTTAAAGACTAAAAAAAGTGTGCAGAGGAGAGATTTTAAAAAGTATAAATATATTCTATTTTAAAAAGTATAAATGTATGTTTTATATGTATGTACATTTAAAAAAATACAAAATGTATACTTGAAAAATCTGTGTGCATTTTAATATTTAAAATCCTCTCTCTTCCTCCCTTCTCACCTCATTCGTCGTTTTACCAGAATGACATCAATCTTCCTAAGTTTCGTAATATTGCCAATATCGACAGAGTTTAAAGTGTCAGATAAGCCGTAACGTATGTCTCAAGTTCTTAGTTTCAGGAAACTAGTATTTTGCAACAAACCAGTAGTTTCTAATTCGCCATTTGTCCCATTTGCACAACTTACGAGTGCGCGATGAGAGAAGGGGGTCTCGAAACTTGCCCTGTGAAAAATTGCCTGAGAAATTTTTAATTTCGTGCGCCCGCTCGTCGATCTTGCGAAACTTTTTCCCGGCGATTTTCATTAATTATTCAAATCCACAGAGCGGCCAAACTGACGCAATTATTCGCCTTGTAGCTTGACGAACCGTCCAAAGATGTCCTTCGCATGTAAAAATATTTTTAAAAAACACTCGCGAGACTTAAATTTTACGTAGTTAGAATTTTGCGTACATACGAAGTGAAATATCTGTGCCAGCTTTAGACGTAAAAAGGTAGAGCAATTCGTCTGAAATGTTACACTGCTGATTTGTTGCGAATTATTAAACCCAACGACAAAGTTCTTTCTCGAGCTTTAAAATTTCTTGGGCCCTCGAGGCAAAACGGAGTAAAACAACTGCCTTATTATATTTATAGAGCTACTATAGAGAGAACTATTCGTTGTAATAAAGAGGACTTTGCGTTAATAATTTGCGCGAAATCTCTCGGGATTTTTCAAAACGAGCGGAAAATTTGTAAAACTGTCACACCCAATGACTCATTCGATCATCGCGCCGAGCTGGGATAGTCGAAAACGACAGGACGATTTAGCTGCGAAATGCTCGCCGTGCCAATTTTTGCCCGACTCGTCGGTCCGACAAATAACAACACTAATATCGCGCGGGCCCGATGATCGAGGGAAGGCGGAAAATTATTTTCCGCGCGACAAAGCGTCGTTCTCCAGGCGCGCGCGCGAGGGCCGCGTCGTACGGTCCTCGCATAAATCTTGGTAGACCGAATGATCCCGCCGCGGTGAATCCACCGACTGATAAATCTCGATGTGGAAATTGATTATCGGACGGGAATTCTCCCATGGGCGACTCCACCCTCGTGTACACCTGTATTTATACGCCCGGGGCAATTTGGTCGTACGGTGCAGTTAATCCTTACCCTCTTTCCCTCTCCCACTGTCTCCTTCCCTTCCACGTTCTCTCTCTCTCTCTCTCTCTCTCTCTCTCTCTCTCTCTGAATGATTTTACTAGACGATATCGTTGTAAAATGTTACGTGCGTTATCTGTAAATAATAAAAAAATTTTGTGTAAGTACAAATACCTTGGAATTGCCTCGGCGATAATTCGACGAGAGTGGATTGGCTTTACGACCGCGTGTGTAGGTGTAGTCGCGGAGGATGAGGTGAAATTCAAGGTGAACGATC